GTATGTTCATCAGTTTTAGCGTCTAATGTAAATATAAACTGAAACGAGTTGTTTATTAAAGTTTTTTATATTTTATATTCAATGTGCTTTTTTAGGGATTTCAAATAATTCTTACTGATCCAAATACAAAAACAACATTTCACATTATGACAGAAAAGCATGATAGACAACAATTAGCTATCAATCAAGAATTATTGAAGAAAGAAACTGGATTTCTTCATCTTTTGGCCTATCTTTTTTCAACTTTATTTACAGAAGAAGGATTGAGAGTTTCATCTGTTGACGCCTCTGTCCGTGGTACACAAGCATTTGATCCAGTAAGAGTAGGTGCCATTGATAGGCATTTATTTGATTTATATGGAGCACGGTATGCGAAATTTCGCACAAGCAATCAATGTAAAGAAATACTGAACAAGAAATGCAGTCGAATAAGAACTAAATTTAACAAAAATATGAATAATTATTAGATTTGTGTTAATAAATAATCTATGTATGTGTATATATATGTTCAAATAAAAATCACATCATTGATTCCATATCGATGAATTTTTTAACTGCAAATATAGGACGCGTTGAAAAAAATTCATTTTTTCCAGAAAGAATGATTAATCTACGGCTAAAGAATATTGAAAAGAAAAAGAATAATATTTTTCATGTATGCGTACACATACATCAAAAGAAACAAACACTATATCAAAAATTTAATTAAAACAAATTCGTTACTCTGCGACAGAGCGGCATGAGAACGGCAGAGCGGTTGAACGGCAGAGCGGCTGAACGGTAAAGCGACAAAACGGCAGAGCGGCATGAATTTTGAAATGTTCCCTTATATGGATATCAGTTTCCGCTTATTAATCTATCCATAAACACATATGTTCATTAGTTCATAAATTAAAAAGTTAATATTGATAAACGAACATTATTATGTTTCCCTACTTTTTAAATTATCATGAAATAAATATTAATTTACGTCGTTTCCTGATAACTTCTATAAAACTCTTTGTATGAAAATAGAATAGTAACAGTGGCATTCATGCATTTTTTATTTTCATATGTTCACTTATCCTGTATAAAGTGTAAATATAAGTAACAAATAACGCTCATGGGCAGTCTATTGGCTCAATTCTAGAATGAGGGACTAGTAAAGAAACAGAAATTCACCTATGTCTGTTAGTCTCTCTATAGCATATGGAACAAATGATCAAAATACTGATGCTAGTGGCCATAGTAATGACACAAGCCGTCACAGGGATGGCATAATTAGTATAGCAATGTCATACATAACTACAAGATGGTCATTTCGATCATACTTATCGTCGTTTAGACCGAATGTATGAGCATTTTTTAATACATTTGGTCATCTATACCATCTCTTTGCTCATAGGTCAAAGAGACAGCACAAATGACCGACCGTATGATTTCAATGACGATCTTCCGGTTATTTATACCATTGATACAGTTCCTCATACAATTTCTCTGGTCATGCACATTATCTCCGTGGAGGCTTTGGAACCGATCAAGAAATCAACTGGTCCTGTAAATACCGAAAATTCACCGGTTGAAATTTAAAAATAACAATCTTTAGTTAAATCTCTCCTTTTTTTAAAAAAGATGTGTTATGAGTTTTGCTACCAAGTAGATTAAATGATTCGCTATCGATATACGTGTATAAAGTCTTTCGACACTAGTGGCTATGCAAAATTTCGTTTAGTTTAAGATGAATACTGGTTGTATTCATAAACTTACAAGTATTGAATCTTATTTATTTCAGAAAAGATACATTGGCAGAGAGACAAGATACTATATCCAAATCAGCAAGGATATTCTCAATATCCAGCTTAACAAATCGTAGTGTTTCATGAATTGAAAAGATTATGCATATATTTTTCACGGACTTCCTGAAAATTTCAATTACATTCTATCAACAATTGAAATTTTGTAAAATATATTTCCAAAATACTGTTTGAATAGTTCTATTCACTCATTAGTTAATGAATTCCACTTCTGGCACCGACTCTGTCGTATTCTATGATATTTTGGCTCTCTGGGACAATTCTTAAGCAGTGAGTTCCACTAATTGCTATTTATTGTATCGGCATTTCATCTGTTCAAGAACGATGTAGAACCGATCAGACCAATGTGTTTTTTTAATTTCTCGGTTTCATTCAACTCTGCTCTGTAGTCAGTTGTATCATTGCTATGACCGTTTTTACTAACATTTTGGTTGTTTGTACTACGTGTTGCAGACAGACACAGGAGAATTTTGGTTTAAAGACCCTATTCTTTCAGTCTGGGGAGTACTCTGTTTGATTTGTATGTTATAAGTTGAGTTTTATGAAAAGTTGTCAACAGAAATTTTTTCTTATTAGATTTTATTGAAAAGTTTATTTTATTGAAATTATCATTAGCTCTTCTATGAAAAAAATGAGATGTTTGAGTTAAATCTGTCATAGATCAACTCGTTACGATCAATGCTGAACAAAGGTCGTTATGTACTATGACTAATTATATTTTTATCAGTAACTACGTAGAAAATCTATCTATAATTAGACCAGGAACAAATGAATTTCTTCATAATTTTTGATGAAATCGGCAATGTGTAGTGACGTACACAGAAAAGAACGGAAAAAGAAAAAACATGTTACACAGTTGATCAACCATATAAATACACATTACTGTATTCAGTTGTAATTATATTCATCAGTTAAAAATGTGTCATATGAAATATCTATTCAATATTATTTTTTTACATTTTATTTTGGCTGAACCTAAAATCAATCTTCATTATACGAATTGGATAAATGAGAATGATAGTAATAATGTATTAAAACATGATTGTTTACGCATTCCTGTTTCGATTGATAAGACAAGAATAAGTCGTGAAATCATTTCCTACTGTATGGATGAATTACCATCGAAATTTCCTATTGAAAATGATAAATTTCCAAAATTTACCTTTGCTGAACTTTCGAAACGCAAAATTACAAGTCAACAATTATATCTTTGGTCAGCACCGATTGATTTGGTTGAACTTTATCAATTCTATTTAAATCAATTACCAACATCAAATGATAAGTCTCTCGAGACACAACTTTTCTATAATTGTACGTTACCAATGTTTGGTCCGATGTGTCAATATGAAATTGATTATAATCCTCATTTGGATTCAACTTTATATGATATTATTCGTAGACATTCCCGGGTACCTTTACATAGCGAAATTCCCGTATGTTATGTTTATTTACAATGTAATCGTGGTCCTTATCCAGCATGTCTTAGTTGGCAAGAAATTTGTGATGGAAGACTCGACTGCGTCGATGGAAAATTCGATGAAGAACATTGCTGGCAACTTGAAATCAATGAATGTAATGATGATGAATTTCGATGTACGAATGGGCAGTGTATACCAAAGTCGTTCTACCGAGATGATCCATATACTTATGATTGTCTTGATACTTCTGACGAAATTCAATTCAGTCTTACAAAGGATATCCCATGTTCAACACTTGCACCATCATTCGGATGTGAAGAGAAAGTACGTTTATATTCCCAGTCGCATAAAGTTTCGGTACTAGAAATTCCAACTACTCTGATTAAAGGATTATATTCGGTCAAAGATGATTCGATCTCGGAACAATGTTGGTTAGCTTTTAACTGTCTCATTGGAGAAAACTTTCGTTTTCCGTTTCCTATACCAAAACAATGTCTAGAAATATTTCAGAAGACATGTCCCGATATGTTCTTCTTTCCGAATACTCCAATGTTTCTTGGTGAGATTTATCTTGCATATAGAAAAGACGAATTATTACCGTATCCGCTAGGATTTCTTAAAATACATTATATATGTTATAACAGTTCTCGTTATGATGAATATTTTATTCGTTACCGAATGGTACTATTCAAAAACAAAAAGTGTTTTCGTTTTGCACCGATTACGAATCTTTTCCCTACATTTTCATTGCCAGGTGTATATAATTCTTTTATGGGTGGGATTATCAATGAACTGAAAAGATACACCTTACTTTTTGATTACAATCGTGCACTCTGTAATAGATCACAAATGTATCAATGTCAGAATTCGTCTAAATGTATTTCAGAATATCGTATCTTGGATTCCGAAGCTAATTGTCCTTATCAAGATGATGAAAGACTTACTCTTTTGGAACATATCGGTTCGACTGAAGTTCGAAAACAACGTTATAAATGTGAAATTTATAACATCTATATTAGTTTGGTAAATGTTGGTGATGGTTTCTGCAATTGTAGAATTACCGGTACTGACTGGTGTGAAGATGAAGATTTGTTGATACTTCATGCGGTAAAGAATATTTCATTTCAATATATCTGTGATAGTTTTACGAATATGATTCCAATCATTGTCGAAGGAAAGAACAACACAGATGAAACAGAATGCGAACAATGGTCGTGTAATAATATTTATACTCATTGTGATGGTGTATGGAACTGTCCGAGAGGTGAAGATGAATTCGATTGTGATTTATCTTCAAAATTAAATTGTTCTTCAGATCATCACTTATGTGTCTCACCTGATATAATAGAACTCACATGTTTACCTGTTGAGAAAGGAAATGATGGTAATATTGACTGTCTAGGTGCCACTGACGAGCCAATGTTATGTAGGCAAATTGGTTACATGATGTATCTGGGTGAGTTTTACTGTCTTGTCAAAGGTCAAGCACTATGCATTTCTTCTGATTTGCTATGCGATGATCACATTCTTTGTGATCATGCAGAAGACGAGCGATTTTGTACATCACGGCACAATTCTTCTCAAATTTCTGGTACTTCTCACTCGAACTATTCACCTCTAAATTCTGATGCTGAAAAATTTTTGTATAAAGCAGCAAAGCGAAAACCGAAACGACCAACCAAGTATTTTTCATTAGTTGGTATGCCTAAAGCTGCAAATAATAAAACAAAGGGTATATCGGATGCGATGACACGAAGAATATTTCAACTTCATCAAAATAATTGTCATCGTGGTTTTCCTGTATATACTTGGTTGAACAGCAAAAACTTCTCAAAAAATGAAACGTGTTTTTGTCCACCCAATTATTATGGTGATCAATGTCAATATGAAAATCAACGAGTAAGTTTAACCATTCAATTTCGAGCATTATCCGATTCTTGGTCAACATTATTTGCAATAATTATTTTACTTATTGATGATAGTGACGAAAGAATAATTCATTCATATGAACAATTCACTTATTTGTCAACGAGAGATTGTAAAACCAAATTTAATAGTTATTTACTTTACTCAACTCATCCAAAAAACCACACAAAAAATTATGCGATACATATTGATATCTACGAAAAAGTTACATTAATCTATCGAGGAAGTTTATTGTATCCAGTAACATTTTCATTTCTACCTGTTAACCGTCTAGTCCATATAGGTATTATTCCACGATCTACTGAAAACTTTGAGACTTGTTCAATGCCTCAATGTGTTCATGGTAAATGTATCAGATATTCGAATAATCCACAAAATGCTGTTTTTTGTCAATGTAATCAAGGATGGTCCGGAAGATATTGTACAACTCCACATACTTCTATATGTTCTCCTGATTCAAAATCTATTGATTTATCTGTTTACAATCGATCTGTATGTGTTTGTCCTATTAATAAATTTGGTTATAGATGTCTTCTACCTGATACAATTTGTCAAATGAACAATAGTTTAACATGTTACAATGGCGGTCAATGCATTCCTAATGATGAATATGTAATATCGAATCATACATTTACATGTATTTGTCCCAAAGGTTATATTGGTGATCAATGTGAAATAGGTGAAAACAAAATAATTTTGTCATTTGGAAAGAAAATTGCTTTATCTCAATCGATATTTATTCATTTCCTACAAGTTATTGATGATCTCAAACCATTAAGAATGACTACTTTTCGCACGATTTCTCTTGTTGAAAATTCAATTACAATTTATTGGTCACAACCATTCCATCTTATGTTTATTGAATTCTTCAAGAGCAATTATTATTTAATTGTTACTGAGACAAATTTTCAACAATCAATAACAACAAAAAAAATGGTAAATCCATCAGATCTTTGTCAATATATAAGTGAATTATTTAATGAAACATTTGTTAAAATGCATCCTATTCGTCGTATCAAATATTATCATTTACCATGTCGAAGAAATTTATCAGATCTTTCTTGTTTTTACGATGATCAACGTATTTGTTTCTGTTATGATTTTAAAAAAGAACGTTTAGCAAATTGTTTTGATTTTGATCACAATATGACATCTGATTGTTTAGGTAAAAGTGTTTGTAAAAACGAAGGTAAATGTTTTCAAGATAGTCCAGATTGTCCAAGAAGGTCAATGTGCATTTGTCCAGACTGTTTTTATGGAGCACGATGTCAATTTAGTTCAAATGGTTTTGGTTTATCACTTGATGCTCTTTTAGGTTATCATATTCAACCAAATATTANGACCTCGTAATGGTGTATTTTCTTTTATTGAGTTAAGTCTCATTACTTGCCATTTTTAAAAAAAAAACCAAGAACACAGTTCGATAGAGTAAATTTTTCTCCATAAGATAGAGTAAAATTTATTTCCTGCCCCTCTCAAAAATGTCAAGCACCAATCCGTGAAGGTTTGCTATTGATTCGATGAGTCATCGAGCTCAGCGTACATACCATAATGTTATTCGATCGACAAAATGATTGTCTAACTATGCTTTTTCTTCATTGGTTGTTTTTCTGCTATTATACAATGAATCGAAACACAGATATTAATCAACACTTTATTCAATAGAGTTCGCCGATAATCAAGGTCAGAAATTTTTTATTTTTTATTGGTTTTGATTTGTTTATTTCGATAAAATAAAATAATCAATCAGACAGGGTGAGTGAACGACTAGTTTTTTCGACTGACTGTCTTCCTTTGAAGAACAATATTTTATTTAATATGCAGTTATACTTCACCCTTAAACCCAAACAAAAAATAATATCATATAACTGTGTCTTTATAACGAAGGAAAAAATCTAGCACATATGTTCTATTGTTAGAAAAAATAAACCGAAAACAAAAGTTCGAATAGATATATTCGGAATATAGAAGAAAAACGACGAGTGTTGGTTATACTTATTGTTCATGGCAATTATGATAAATACTACAGTAGTTTTTATTATCTATACTAAAGACGCGTTGAAACATTACATACTTCGGCAAAATGAGGTTTTACTCCTTAGATAATGATGCCAGACAATGAAATATAGTACTGCGTCGCGAGTTTTTTTTAATTTATTTCCAACTTGACATACTCATCTAAACTTGACATTTTGTGTCGCAGTGATCTCAGGAACAGAAAGTCAGAAAATATTCGTTGAAACGTTAGGTGATAGTGTTGAGATTGAACTAGAGTATGGGTGTGGGTTGAGTATGACATTTATTCACAAGAAGTTCTACAGACAAAAGCACACTCACCCGATGTATTTGCGTTTAGAGATACATAGCTAGCAAAAGTCTCACTCTAGGGTATGCGTGTGAATTTGGCTGTGGATATATGGGCTAATGGAATTCAGTAAAGAAAATCCTCATCCACTCGAATTCATCCATCATCATCCTAAGTCTCATCCACAGATACTTTCAACTGTTCGTGGATAGAACTGTACAGTCCAACACAAAAGATGGTTGACGTAGGTGAAAAGAATAGCTATATCGGCCCATCCACCTGCCTATCAAATGGATACACATTCTAATCAGCCATCATATCACTCCACAATTTATTTATGTAATACTATCCTCGAAACATTTCTCGCAACCTACATATGCGATATCTCTTGCCTAGTTTCACATCAATTTCATAAAATTCATCAATATACAAAGTTTCAGACTGACAAGTATGCATATATGTTATTATCATTTAAATTTGAAAAATCCATAATAATGATAATCAAGACTAGATTTCAAGCTCACACGGAATAACCGATAAGGTAAGGATTTAGATGTGTATACCCTGGAACTATTTTGTTTGTCTTGACAAATATTCTCTGATTCGATTGGCAATAGGATAGATTACAAGTTTCCGAATCAAAGCTGTGTGTAGTCTTGAAATCAAAATAACCGATATGTTGACGATCAACACTAGACTGAACCAGATACACAAGCGAATTACTTCCTTAATTGGGTTAAAGTATTATGTCCAGGATTTAAACAGTTTTGAAGACCTATACCTGATTGGAATAATCTACTTTCTTTTTTGATAAAGTTCTGGGCTGCAATTGAACTCACTATCAGAAGTAGAGAAAATTTGATTATAGTCATTGTATGAATAGGTATGATTGTTTGTAAAGGAATGACAATAGAACACTATTCATCTATTATAAGTTAAGAGCAAAATATCACGATCTTTTCATGTGATATCGATCCAGATAAGAAAAAAGTGCTGTCCTGTTTGCGAAGGGTGTGGGTGTATGTTTATGAATCTTTCCTACACCTTCACATCACACATCATACTCACACCCTCAAGAAGACAACTGTGTTCATATCAGAAAAGAGAAATTCTCTGAGAAAAACATAGAACTCTGTTCGTTTTCACATGCAAGCAAGCAAGACATAAAAGAAAAGAATAGGAAAGAGACAACAGTATGCTAATGTCATGTTCAGACTATGAAACTAGAGAAAATCAGTGTTTATCTATGTTGTACAAAAGAGGTTACATGATTATTGAAAAAAATTAATTTGTTATCACAATTCAACGAAAGCATTCATAATAGAAATGAGAGATATAACTTCTTTGTTTATCGAGGAGGAGGAGTGGGAAAAGTGGGCAGATCCAGATGAATAACGGGATTTATCTAAACACTTCAGTTAGTTCTGATAGGAAAACAATTACGGGATTTTTAAAAAAAAAAGTTGCGATAAATTCCAACACAGAAATAACCATCGGAATCTGTCCAAAAAACTTCAATGAATCTCGAGTTTTATTCAAAAAACTTGCATGAGCTTCAACACAGGAATAATTAACGGGATTTATCACAAAGTTCCAAACAATTCTAAAAAACGAAGTCCTAAAAACTTCTGAAATACCTAATCTAATCAAGTTGAATCAAAAAAAGTGCTCTGTCCTTATTCTTTCATTCAAAAGAATTCAAAAAAAGAATCCCGAATGGACATGCTTTCACTTCTTCAGTTTCTTATGTTAGTTAAAGTCATTGTTGCAGAAAATACTAATCTTCGTGAAGTTCTTAGATTACACTGACTTTATGAAGTGAGAAGCTATATAAGACATCAGAATGTATTTCGATGAGAACACAGGTAAAGCTGGGTGGATTATTGTTGGCATCTTGCATACTCAGTATCTAGAACACTAAAATGTTCAGTATGACACATTTTACTGAAGAGAGTAATTCTTATAACTTTTTAAAAATTCGATCAGAGCGATAAGGCGTATGAGCAACGTTCTGATGAGATACCATTCCATACAAGCGAGAGGTATAAATTGCTACCTCTAATTAGGGTTGGATGTACGCTTGGTGGCTGGGTTACGGCATGATCTGTTTTGAAGACATACACTTTCACCCACACCCTCATATGAACAATTCACTTATTTGTCAATGAGAGATTGTAAAACCAAATTTAAAAGTTATTTACTTTAGTCAGCTCGCCCAAAACACCACACAAGAAATTATGCGATACATATTGATATCTACGAAAAAGTTACATTAATCTATCGAGGAAGTTTGTTGTATCCAGTAACATTTCCATTTCTACCTATTAACCGTCTAGCCCATATAGGTATTGTTCCACGATCTACTGAAAACTTTGAGACTTGTTCAATGCCTCAATGTATTCATGGTAAATGTATCAGATATTCGAATAATCCACAAAAATGCTGTTTTTTGTCGATGTAATCGAGGATGGTCTGGAAGATATTGTACAACTCCACATACTTCTATATGTTCTTCTGATTCAAAATCTATTGGTTTATCTATTTACCATCGATCTATATGTGTTTGTCCTAGTAATAAATTTGGTTATAGATGTCTTCTTCCTGATACAATTTGTCAAATGAACAATAGTTTAACATGTTACAGTGGTGGTCAATGCGTTCCTAATGATGAATATGTAATATCGAATCATACATTTACATGTATTTATCCCAAAGGTTATATTAGTGATCAATATGAAATAGGTAAAAACAAAATGATTTTGTCATTTGGAAAGAAAATTGCTTTATCTCAATCGATATTTATTCATTTTCTACAAGTTATTGATAATCTCAAACCATTAAGAATGACTATTTTCCAAACGATTTTTCTTGCTGAAAATTCAATTACAATTTATTGGTCACAAACATTCCATCTTATGTTTATTGAATTCTTCAAGAACAATTATTATTTAATTGTTACTCAGACAAATTTTCAACAATCAATAACAGCAAACAAAATGGTAAATCCATCAGATCGTTGCCAATATTTCAATGAATTATTTAATGAAACATTTGTTAAAATGCATCCTATTCGTCGTATCAAATATTATCATTTATCATGTCGAAGAAATTTATCAGATCTGTCTTGTTTTTACGATGATCAACGTATTTGTTTCTGTTATGATTTTAAAAAAGAACGTTTAGCAAATTGTTTTGATTTTGATCACAATATGAAATCTGATTGTTTAGGTCAAAGTGTTTGTGAAAGCGAAGATAAATTTTTTCAAAATAGTCCAGATTGTCCAAGAAGATCAATTTGCATTTGTCCAGACTGTTTTTATGGAGCACGATGTCAATTTAGTTCAAATGGTATTGATTTATCACTTGATGCTCTTTTAGGTTATCATATTCAACCAAATATTAGAATTTTACATCAGCCAATTATTGTCAAAATAAGTTTAACTATAACCGTAATCCTTTTGATTATAGGATTTATCAATAGAATTTTGTCGTTAATGACATTCAAGAACTAAGCTATTCGTGAAGTTGGTTGTGGATTGTATTTACTTGGCTCATCAATTACATCCTTACTTGTAACAGTGGTACTTTGGCTCAAGTTTTTCATTCTTCTGCTTGCACAAATGATAACTATATCAAATCAATTATTCTTACAAATTCAATGTTTATCTCTTGATTTTCTTCTACGACTGTGTGTTAGCGTGGATCAATGGTAAAATTCATGTGTTGCGATGGAACGAGCAATTACAATAATACAAGCTACAAATTTTTGTAAGAGAAAAAGCAAAAAAATAGCTAAAATAGTAATTCCTCTTCTGTTGATTTTCATTATTGGCACTAATATTTATGATCCTTTTTATCGACATTTAATTGATGAAGAAAATGAAGATGATAAACGGTTATGGTGCATTGCTAGTTATCCATCTAATGTACAATCATTTGATTCTATTATACAAACATTGAATTTTTTGGCTTCATTCATTATTAATCTAATAGCGGCTATTATTCTCATAACAAGAAAATCTCGTCAACAATCAAATGTTCGAGCTAATTGGCTTTTCTAGGTGAATCAATCCTGTTGTATGATCTTATACGATTCTTACCAGATCATATAAGAACGTACGTCTGATCTTCCAGGATCATACAAGATCATATGAAAATCACACATGATCTTGTAAGATTATATATGTCCACCTCAAAGCCAACTTTTCTGACAGAATCGAACTGTACGATTCTATATGATCTTACTATAAGATCCATGTATGGTTTTCCAGAGTTGGATACAAAGGTGTATAACTCATTTTCTCCTCTTTTCTTTTATATAGCTTTCATCTTTGAGAGATGTTTTTCTTAAACTCACTGCAAGTATCAAATATAATAAGTAATTAAAGTTAAATTTAATTGTTTATTTCATTTATGTCCATATAAATGCATCAAATAAAATAAATAAGTTTTTATTAAATAAATATTTACTTTGTTTCGTCTAACCGTGGATATTATCTAGGGTGGATGGATGTGGGTGTACAGGATCTATTTATTCATACCCATACCCACACCGTCACACCCACACCCAGTTTTATATTTGTAAACACTCACACCCTCAAGATGTGGATGGTATGGATTAGTACCCGGCGTGACCAAGTTTTTTTGGTCACGATCACGGTCGCGGCTTGTGTCTATCGTGACCGTGGCCGTGAGTCACGACAATTTTCTATGAACTTTTACGACTACTCTTATAAAAGAAGTATTACTTAATGGCGTTCATATATATCGGTTGCGATCAATGTGACTTAATGTTTATTATTTAATGATAAAATTTATCACGTACCATAAATAATTAACGATTGAATTTCAGTTCAAACAACCCTGTCAAGGAAAATTTCACATCATTATTCACCAACGAGAATATTTCAGTAACAATCTGAAACCGGGAAAAGAAGGATTATAATAGTTGAATCAATATAAAGTAAATTGTTTGTATTTCGAACATTTCTTCTATCCCTAGAACTCGATCGAGCTGATTTTTGCTAAAATATTCTCCGTTCAGTTCCCATGCAAGAAATACATGATCGTTTTATGGTAAAATTCGAACGTGCAAATGTCATGAGACATGTTAAAAAGTACCAAAATTGAGTAAAAGCTAAACGTAGATAAGTTGAAAAGCGGGTTGTTTTAGTATTTTTTGCTGCACTGTTGTGAAATCAGTATAAAAGTAGCCGTCGTATAGGCATTGAAAAATTCTTTTCTGCCAATAATCTTGACGAAATTCAGCTAGGATTGTGAGTGTAAAGATTTTTGCTATGTTTTGCCTGTTTTTCAAAAAATGACGATTTTTTAAGTAATAATTCAAATCTTCCGATGCAAAAATGAGTCCTAGGTAAACTTGATCCATTCAAAATGGTTCTCACATCTATTTCGGAAACCAATGTTTAGTCGCTACGGTGGAATTTCCAAGATTTAAAAAAGAAAGTTATTTATTCAGCAACGCAAATAAAAAAAGATAATGGTTTTTATTTTTCACTTGTTCGCCATCAAGCTAATCGTTGCGTCGAATATTTAGGTTCCAGCGTGTGGGCATTCGAAAAGATAAAACCACATCCACACCCTGCAATTCTGTTGAAAGACATGACACTCTGTAACATAAATCAAAGTCATTAGAAACAATATGAAAATTTTTATTGAAAAATTAGAAAAAGAGGAACTATCTTTGTCGAATAAATATTATCAAAGGGGAAACAGCTGATTATTTGATTAGATATGATTTTAAGTGATTAGCAGTGATTAGCCTTGATTAGTAGTGATTAGCCTTGATTAGTCTTGATTAGAAGTGATTAGAGATGATTAGGAGTGATTAGGAGTGATTAGGAGTGATTAGAGATGATTAGGAGTGATTAGGGATAATTAGGAGTGGGCATGCAACGGTGACGAATAATCGGTCGACCAGTGAATTGGTGAAGCGGTAATCGCTTAGACCGAACAAACGATTAAACGGTAACCGTTCTGACCAATCAAACGATTGAACTGCAACCGGTCGAACCGATTAACCGATTAAATGAAAACCGGTTAGTACGAACAAACAATTAAAATCATATTGGCCTAAGTACCGCTATTTGAAAAGGTACCATGGAATCACTTATATATCTTCAACACCTATCCTATATAAGTATCCATAGGCTCTCAATAGCTATCATATAGGGGTGCCCTTGGGCCCCCATGTCTATACTATGGGAATACCCTTGGATCTTCATCTGCTATACTATAGGGGTACCCTTCGGTCCTCAACTACTATAGTATAGGAGTACCTTGGGNCAAGAAAACGTACGTTGAATTCTATAAAATTAACAATTACATAGCAATGAATATAAAGGATTTTTTGTTTTGAAAAATTAATAATGTCAAATATTATAAAGTTTTGAGAAGTGTTGAAAATTTTAGTGCATTTACACTAGTAATTTTTCAAATTTTCATTTTCAATCTGCTGCATATTGTTATTCCATTAATCATAGTAAAATTTATCGTAGTATTATAAATAATCAATTTTAATAAACATCTATTATATTGATTATATGGTTTTGTTTAGATGAGCTAATAAAATTATATAATCATTTATTGAAAATTACTAACTAGTTAGTTTCTGATCTCAAAATAAGTTTTCTAAATCAAATAATATGATTCTTTTTATTATCCTAATGTATATGAAGTGATAAAACTTTTCATTTGAATTTATTCTGATATTTTATTATAAAACTGTTAGCGTAGAGACATATATATATCAGTTGAATCATTCTATCTATATTTATCTAAATGATAATCATTTAATCAATATGTATAAAGTGAGATTTTATACATAAGAAATCGATTAAACATAAATCATATTCAGTAGTTATGAATATTCGTTTAATATCTGTCGAGATTTCATTTGAATCCTTTATGTTTCTTTTATACGTGACGAAAACATTTGCCTCTATCAAAGTCGACATAATATTTTATTTTGTTAATTTTATTCAAAACACAAAATATAACTAATTCGAGGATTATTCAAACACGTTTATTTTAGATATTTTAATCTATCGGAAAAGTTAATAAAAATTAAAATAGCAATTTCACTAAAAAATTTCATTTCTGACATCAGTTTATGATGATGAAAATGTTTACGGGTTGTCTCAAGAATAGAATATCTAAAAAACTCAAATTTTTTACATATCAGAATTCACAAAAAGAAGCGCAGAGAATGATTGAATAAAATTATTGTAGATAAAATGAAATGTCTCTCAGTTCTCTATGACATTTTTTGAGTAAGACAGATGGAATTTTAAAAAGATACAAGCGGTTTCATCATACCAGGTAATTGGAAAACAAACAGCTTCTGCACCTTCATAATATCTACACACATATATATATATATGTATCACTCAAAAATATTCTTAAAAACTCGCAAGATATTCCATTTTGTATGTTTTGCTTTGTTCTTCATCATTCTTAATGATTTATTTGTGAATTGTTTAATGTAAAAACTTGCTTTTAAGTTATTTTTTACTGACCCTGATCTTGAAAACTTGGCAATTATGTATTTCCATCTGCGAGATCATAAATGTAATGCCAAGATTTCAATTTATGGTTTTCTTAGTATGTGTTACATACAGATGTTTGAAGTGACATAGTGGATGAAAACAGAATGTTGAACATCACTTACCTGCCCCCTGCTTGAATCTCGGATGTTTCCTTGGTTCTTGTGATTGTTTGGGTTTCATGATTTATGAGAATTTCTAAATTTCTGCTGAATTGTTAGAGATAACTACTTGTTTTTGTTTTTGTTAATGTTTACCTTTTGAATTCACAGAACCAGAACACGTCTCATTCTTATCTTTTAATTTAGGTTTCAACATTGGAAAGAATAGAAACAATACATGAGAATTATTCTCATTTATTTATAGACTCATCAGCGTCAACAACAGTGATTGAATCTCAAATTAAATCCTCAGCACATGTTGACAATGAACATAAAAAAACTGAAATCAATGCATCAAGTAAACAATTACCAAAACATCCGAGATTCAAGCAGGGG